AAAGCCTACGAACCCTAAACCCTAACCCGAGTGTTTTGTTCGAGCTGCTTCGCTTGTGAGGGGTTCAGGCTTGAGTGAGAGGGGAGAAGCAACATCAAAAGAAAGAGAGCGAGCGAGAGAGAGAGAGAGAGAGAGAGTGAGACAGAGATGTAGTAATACATCCATACACGATGTGAGTGTATACATATATATATATATGTATATATATACACGCATATTATAACATGAATCAGAAGAAAGATCAAAACAAAAACAAGAAAAACGGTTGAACGCACATGCTGGCAGGCGAACGCGCCGAGGGGATCGGCCGAATAAGCTGCAAGCAAAGCGTCTGCTGGGAGGTCGCAGATCATCCTCGGTCGGGCTTTAGGGTTTCGTCGTGGTGAAACCCTAAACCCTAAACCCTAGATCCTAAACCCCAAACCCTAAACCCTCAAGAGCCTGTCAATTGATCATCGGTGGGCCGCGCGATCTCACAAGCGGACAGCTCTCAAGAGCAGCCCTAAACCCTAAACCCTAAACCCGAAACCCTAAACCCTAAACCCTGGTTTAAACAACTAGAACCCAAAACCCTAGAACCCTAAACCCTCAAGAGCAGCCAGGACTCAGGGTCGTCTTTGGGTCCTCACCCAAGTCCTGATGTGGCAGCTTGCGTTCAGGCTTTAGGGTTTAGGGTTTAGGCTTTAGGCTTTAGGCTTTAGGCTTTAGGCTTTAGGCTTTAGGCTTTAGGCTTTAGGCTTTAGGCTTTAGGCTTTTTGCTTTAGGCTTTAGGCTTTAGGCTTTAGGCTTTAGGCTTTAGGCTTTAGGCTTTAGGCTTTAGGCTTTAGGGTGTGGGGTTTCGGGTTGAGGGTTTAGGGTTTAGGGCTTTGGTTCTTCACCCGAGTCCCGAGGGCAGCTTGCTTTCGTCTGTGACGTAGGGGATGGGGCTTGGGTTTGGCAGCTGTAGCCGAAACAAGGTCCCTTGTTTTTCCCCTCTTGTTTCGTTTGAGGGGGGATAGGAAAGGTACCTATAAGGGGTCGTATAGATCAGAATAGCCTAACCCTAAACCCTAAACCGTAAACCCTGAACCCACATGACACTCCAGTACCGGTGCCTAGACCTCTCCCGGGCGGTTCAAGTCAATGGTTGCTGCAGCTGAGGGCTTGGAGCTTTGGGCTGATAGGGCTGACAGGGCTGATAGGCCTGATAGGGCTGATAGGGCTCATAGGGCTTTTCAGGGCTGATAGGGCTCATGGGGCTCATAGGGCTTATAGGGCTTATAGAGCTTAGGGTTTCGGGTTGAGGGGTTCGGGTTTAGGGTTTAGGGCATAGGGTTTTGGGTTTAGGGTTTAGGAAGAATTACTTGCCGGGCGTCCGAATTTGAGGCACTTCTCAACGAGGATGTCGGAGAGCAAGTGGATGTCTCGTCCAGGCCTGACAGCGTCGCAGCGCTATATCCGTAAACCCTGCGCCCTGGGTTAGGGTTTCGGGTTTAGGGTTTAGGGTTTAGGGTTTAGGGTTTGGGGTTTAGGGCTTAGGGTTTAGGGCTTAGGGTTTAGGGTTTAGGGTTTAAGGGTTTAAGGGTTTCAGGGTTTAAGGGTTTAAGGGTTTAAGGGTTTAAGGGTTTAAGGTTTAGGGTTTAGGGTTTAAGGGTTTAAGGGTTTAAGGGTTTAAGGGTTTAAGGGTTTAAGGGTTTAAGGGTTTAAGGGTTTAAGGGTTTAAGGGTTTAAGGGTTTAAGGGTTTAAGGGTTTAAGGGTTTAAGGGTTTAAGGGTTTAAGGGTTTAAGGGTTTAAGGGTTTAAGGGTTTAAGGGTTTAAGGGTTTAAGGGTTTAAGGGTTTAAGGGTTTAAGGGTTTAAGGGTTTAGGGTTTAGGGTTTTAGGTTTTGAGGGTTTAAGGGTTTAAGGTTTTAGGGTTTAGGGTAGGGTTTAGGATTTAGGGTTTAGGATTTAGGGTTCAGGGTTTAGGGTTTAGGGTTTAGGGCTACTGAACCCTTTCTCCAAGGGACTGAAGGAGGGACCCTTATAAGGGACTTAAGGAGTTCCTTGGGGGGTGTTGAGGGGCTTCTTAAGTATAAAGGGACTATATAAGAGATATATATATATATATGTATATAACATATATATGTGTATATATATATAGACATATATATATATATATACAGGGGTTTTTGGGGTGGGGTAAGATTAAGGGTCGCTTCTCATTCTAGGGGTCCCTCCTTGTACACCTTGAGTTATAGAAAGACTAAAAGGAGTCACCGACAGGGTCTGCTTCAATTGGATGACTGACGGAAATATCCTTCTACCGGAACACCGTCCACCTGAAAACCCTCAATCCCAAGCCTAAACCCTAAACCAAAAACCCTGAACCCTCAACCCTACACCCTAAACCCTAAACCCTAAACCCTAAACCCTAAACCCTAAACCCTAAACCCTAAACCCTAAACCCTAAACCCTAAACCCTAAACCCTACCATCTCAGAACTGTCAACCTCCCTTGGAGGGTGCTCCCCAGTGGCCGCTCGTACGGGTTTTGAGCTTCTCGGCCACAAGCTGCTCCACGAGCTTGTAAAAGCCCGTCTCGACTGTCCTGAGTTTTAAGGTTTAGGGTGTAGGGTTTAGGGTTTAGGGTTTAGGGTTTCGGGTTTCGGGTTTAGGGTTTAGGGTTTAGGGTTTAGGGTTTAGGGTTTAGGGTTTAGGGTTTAGGGTTTAGGGGACACGCGGGGCTTCTAGCCCGGGATGGCGGAGGGGGAGCCTTGCATGGGATTGGGGAGCTCCAAAACGCTCTCACAGAAACCCTAGTTCCCTCCTGACTAACCCACAGGTTCTACGCACCTGTATGAAGTAGGGTATATATTCCTTCTATCCCCAGAGTGACACCCAGTATATACACTCACCAATACTGAAAAGGAACCTTATATACACTCACCAAAAACAGAAACATAAACCCTGCTTCATATCGTAGATACTTGGGCCTTAAACGGGGTTCCTGTATAGAAGCATTTGGGCCCAAGTATATACTATACGGGTACATGAACCTCAATAGAGTAATGTAGGAGCCTTTAGTCATTAGAATGGATGTTTGAGTTTTTGTAGCATACTTACATACGGACCATAAGGGACTACTGTGAGTGATTATTCTGATCCCGATATTAACCCCTGAACCCCCAAACCATTACACCTCTAAACCCCTAAACCCCTAAACCCGAAACCCCTAAATCCCTAAGCTCTAAGCAATCATTCCGACCCCCCTTTACGAACCTTGACCTCTGCTGCCGTGCGTCAGCTTGAACTGGTCCCCCATCTCCTGGGTCGAGCCAGGATTACTAGGGTATGGGGTTTAGGGCTTATGTAGGGTTTAGGGTGTAGGGTTTAGGGTTTAGGGTTCAGGGTTTAGGGTTTGGGGTTTAGGGTTTAGGGTTTAGGGTTTAGGGTTTGGGGTTTGGGGTTTAGGGTTTAGGGTTTGGGTTTAGGGTTGGGATTTTCCCCCCTTGTACTAACAGTCCTTAACAGGGATTTGAATAGGGGGTACTGTAATCCCTATCCAGGAGTGTCAGTATAAGAGTGAACATCCCAAGGCACCTTGGCCATTCTTTGAATCTAGGGTTCGGGGCTGAGGGCTTTCTAGGGGGGAGGGTACTTGGGGGCTTCCGTTCTCGTTCCAAGGGTTTCTTTTTTGGCTGCTTCGGCCGTGTCTTTAAAGGGTGGGACCGACTCATTCCTACCCAGGCCCGAACGGGAACCCATTTTAAGAGAACCTGTCATTTGGGGGGGGGGGGGGGGGGGGGGTTTCCGAAATTCGGGGTACCTTATTGGGGTCTGTATTTTTATCAGGGAACCCTACTCTTTTGGGGGTCTTTTTTCGGGGCCCCCTATTTTCGTAAACCATCGATTCGGATCCTTCGAACATCAGAGGCCTCGTGAGAGCTCCCACCCTCGGTTAAAAAAGGCACCATCTTGAGTTGCACAGAAGGGTGCTGTAATTAATATAATTAGACAAACCCGAAGAAAAGTCTACCACACAAAACACACACACACACACACACACACACAAAAAAAAAAAACACACACACACACACACACAAAAAAAAAAAAAAGGAAAACCACGAGTTCCCCGTCGAGTCTCGATCCGCGGCCACGTCTGTAAGGCGTTTAGGTGCGGTCGTCAGCGCGGGATGGCGGCTAAACAGCTGCGGGGCGCGGGCTGTCGAGGGGAAGAAAAGGCTTTTCGGGCACTTGTCGGGTGCTGACCCTAGAGAATCAGCTTGGGCTTTGGGCTTTGGGCTTGGGCTTTGAGGGTTCAGGGTGTAGGGTTTGGGGTCGGGGGTTGAGGGTTCAGGATTCAAATACCCTCCCCCCCCCCACCCCTCCCCCCAAAAAGAAAAAAGAGGAAAAACAAACCCCAAGCCCTTGAACCCGAAAGTCTGAACCCTCGACTCCGAACCCTGTCCGATGCGAAAAGGTGAAGCCCCGGAAAAGCTCACACCCGAGTCGATGTTTCGCATCGTTGCCCTGACCCCTTGCCAAGGGGGGGCCTCTATCCGTACGTAGAGCTTGGGGTCACAAGTAGACCCTAAACCGCAAACCGCAGCGCAAAAAGATTTCAAGATGGAATTCGAGCACGTAGGAGAGTAGGGCAGTGTAGGGTATAGGGCTTGGGGGGGGCTTGGGGGGCTGTAGGTCGGCAAACGAGCAACCACAGCAGCCCAAAGTAGGACATGGCCCACTCCCCTCCCCCGCAAAGGCAGCCCTGCGTTAAGACAAACCGATGCGCCCCTCCCGAACACCAGACCAAAGGCCTAAACACTCTATAAATCTCCTTCAAAACACTCTACTTCCGAAAAACAGAACAGAGCAAAACACAACACACAACAAAACTAAAAACAAAACACAACACATGACCCTACAATCCACCCCCTAAACTCTAAACCCTAAACCCTAAAGCCTAAACCCTAAACCCTAACTAAACCCTAAACCCTAAACCCTAAACCCAAAACCCCGGCCACAGAACTCGGCCCGGGACCGACCCCTGCAACCGACTTTGCACAGCACGCAGGGCAGCGGCCTCTGCAGTGGTATTTCGAGCTGGTCGTAGGGTTTAGGGTTTAGGGTTTAGGGTTTAGGGTTTAGGGTTTAGGGTGTAGGGTTTAGGGGTTTAGGGGTTCAAGGGGTTTAGGGTTTAGGGGTTTAAGGGGTTTAGGGGTTTAAGGGGTTTAGGGGTTTAGGGGTTTAGGGGTTTAAGGGGTTTAGGGGTTTAAGGGGTTTAGGGGTTTAGGCACAGTTTAGGGGTTTAGGGGTTTAGGGGTTTAGGGGTTTAGGGGTTTAGGGGTTAAGGGGTTAAGGGGTTAAGGGGTTAAGGGGTTAAGGGGTTAAGGGGTTAAGGGGTTAAGGGGTTAAGGGGTTAAGGGGTTTAGGGGTTTAGGGGTTTAGGGGTTTAGGGGTTTAGGGGTTTAGGGGTTTAGGGGTTTAGGGGTTTAGGGGTTTAGGGGTTTAGGGTAGGAGGGGTCACTAGATCCAGGAATACAAGGGTACCCTTGTTGGTGTAAAGGGCACCCCCTATTCTGGGTCCGAGGCAAACCTCTCCGAAGAGTCCAAAGACTCGTACAGGCCCCAGATTGTGGGTAAGGCGATCTAGACAATTAATATTCTGACCGGTGGCTCGTTCTTTTACTATTTTATTTGCCCACGAGGTAATATTTATAAAGGCCCCTGACCCCGACGTGGAACTTACACCCCTCTGAAACAGCCGTCCTAAATTAAGGTTCCTCGTCTCCTATGCATCGACCATAAAGGGGACATAAGCTCGAAGCCATGAACCCCAAACCCTAAAACCTGCACCCTAAACTCCTAAACCCTAAACTCCTGGGGCCCTGTTCAGGTACATACACTTGCACTATAGCCGAGCGCCCTTATGGAGAAAAGCTGATCATGGTACCCTAAGCCCTAAACCCTAAACCCTAAACCCGAAACCCTAAACCCTAAACCCTAAACCCTAAACCCTAAACCCGAAACCCTAAACCCGAAACCCTAAACCCTGCACCCCACACTCTGCCTGCTCGTTGCGCTCGGCTTCCAGGTCTGCCACCTGTCGGTGAGGCGACATTGCCAGTGTGGGGTTTAGGGGCTTAGGGTTTAGGGTTCAGGGTTTAGGGTTTAGGGTTTAGGCTTTAGGGTTTAGAGCTTAGGGTTTAGGGTTTAGGGTTGAGGGGGAGTTCGGGCTTATATGGGTTTGTACTTTGAGGTTAGAGCAGTTGATTTTTTGAACCAAGAGGCCCTTGCCTGCGGCTTTTCCTCTTGAACTGCTCTCAAGCTCTTGTACGCACAACCCTAAACCCTGGATTAAGCTGCTGCTATGGGCCCTTCATGATTTGAAGTTACCACCAAGTGTGCTATGTACTGTATCTACCTGGCTTGGCAACTGAAGATCTAAGCCCTGAAAAGCAGCTCAGTAGCCTGAAGCCCTGAACCTAAACCCGTTTTTCATTGCACCCCGAAACTGGGTTCGAGGACTTCTCCAACTCCACGGAGTTGCACTTTTCGGAGGAAAAGCCTATAAGAAAGAACAAGGTGCCCCGAACCCTGAAAATCCTAAACCCTACCCTAAAGATCCCCCCTAAACCCTAAACCCTAAACCCTAAACCCCCACAACAAAGCTGAAAAAAGAGATGGAGAAAATGCCGAGGTCCGCGCCCGTAGCTTCATGGACGCCGCCTCGCCATCGAGCTGGCTGACCCGGACCTCCGGTTTAGGGTTTAGGGTTTAGGGCTTAGGGTTTAGGATTTAGGGTTTAGGGTTTAGGGTTTAGGGTTTAGGGTTTAGGGTTTAGGGTTTAGGGTTTAGGGTTTGTGGTTTGGGGTTTGGGGTTTCGGGTTTCGGGTTTAGGGTTTAGGGTTTAGGGTTTAAGGTTTAGGGTTTAGGGTTTACGGTTCAGGGTTTAGGGTTGAGGGTTTGGGGTTTAGGGTTTAGGGTTTAGGGTTCCGGCGGCCCAGTCTGGAGATTTGGGGATTTGGGGCTTTAGGGTTTAGAGTTTAGGAGTGGGAGGCCCTGGACTTTAACCCTTAAACCCATACCCCAAACCCTAAGACCTAAATCTCTGGACGTACTACGCCCTAAGCCCTGAGGCCGAAACCCTAAGCCCGCAGATCAAACCTCAAACCCCTAAACCCTGAACCCCTCAAACCCGAAAGCCCACGCACAACCTTTCTGACGCTTGATATGCACACGCAGCTTGTGTTCTACGTACTCGTTCTCCTGACCCTCTCCCGACAGCTTTGCATAGACGTGGCCCCGCTTGGGAACCCTTGTGGGCACCCACCTTGAACTCGGTGTCATGGTCCTGGCAGGGTTTAGGGTTTTGGGTTTTGGGTTTTGGGTTTTGGGTTTAAGATTTAGGGTTTAGGGTTTATGTAGTGCGGGTGTCGGGTTTAGGGCGGCTCAGAAGCAATTCTGGCTGCCGGCCTCGTAACCCAAACCCTGGGGCTTAGGGGCAGGGCTTGGGGTTCGGGAACAGAGGTTGACATCAAGACCAGGGTACGCCATTCTCAGGCGGCCATGCCCTGAGCACCTCGAAATGGGGGGGGGGGGGGGGGTTCTTGGGGTCCTTTTGAGAAGGGGATCCTACTACTTGGGGGATCTATATTGGTCCCCGATTATCGTAAACCCCCATATCCTTCAGGGCCTGCAACCTGCATGCTCATGACCAGGCAAACGTCTGAAACTACAGAGCGAACACTGGGCAGGAGCCCATGTGTCTGGTCCCCCCCTGGCAAAAAAAAGGACAGCGGCGAACCTGAAAGAGGCTTCGAAATCTTCCTGAACCCTAAGCCCTAAGCCCCAAGCCCCAAACCCTAAACCCTAAACCCTAAACCCTAAACCCTAAACCCTAAACCCTAAACCCTAAACCCTACTGCCCCAAACCCGAAACTTTCGTTCCCTAGGAACCACCGTCCTTGGTCTCGCGCAGCCGCCTTTCGGTCTCTTCCTGCGCAGCCTGCGCTTGTCGGTTAAGGTTTAGGGTTTAGGGTATAGGGTTTAGGGTTTAGGGTTTAGGGTTTAGGGTTTAGGGTTTAGGGTTTAGGGTTTAGGGTTTAGGGTTTAGGGTTTAGGGTTTAGGGTTTAGGGTTTAGGGTTTAAGGTTTAGGGGGACTGAGTTTACGAACCAGCAAACTTCGAACGCAAAAGACTCATGGCAGTACAGAAGCAGTGCAGCCCTACCAAGTGCCAGAACCAAGCACCCCGCTGCAGCCGCAGAAACAATTCTCTGACGCAACTCCTTGTACCCGACACTACCCCATGCGCAGACACGAGAATAGGGCTTAGGGTTTAGG